ATCGCTTGTCTGGCGCTTTCGAGAGCAATGTCATTGAAATTCTGAACTCGTCCATCGAGCATTGCATCATCCCCGTCAGGTACAGATTGCGATTCGATGTCCGAAGTCTGGTACCCAACGGCCTCCCATACGTTGAGGTTGTTGAGGGGCAACCAGCCCAAGCTCTTATCCATCACCTAACACTTAACAGTCTACCTTTCCTCCCCGCCCTCGCCCTCGCCCTCGACAGACATCAGTCGCGTCGCCGCCTCGAACTGCTCATGTCCCCCTTTCGCTCGCCATGCTGAACCCGCGACAGCTGCTGCCTATTTTGGCCATTGCGACGACTGGATTCTTCTGTTTTCTGTTTTACATCACCAACATAAAAGAAGCATGGCGAGGGCTGCCCCAAGTCATTGGGTTGGGAGACGCAATAAAAGATGAGTCTGCAGCCACTTCCAATGCATCTGCAACGGGCGCCGCGCAGACTGCAAATCCAACGCCCTCAAACAAATGGAAGTCGATCCCGCACTTTGAACACGGCACGGGGAAACCGATCGATTTCAATTTCACAAAAGTCCTGGTGATTCCACACAAAGCCGACGAGGATGTGCAATGGATCGAAGAGAACTTGCCCGAGTACCAAACCGCAATCTACGTCGTCGACAATGCGCGAGCACCACTGCATCCGCCCAAGAACAAAGGCCACGAAGTCATGGTTTACCTGAGCTGGATCATCGACAATTACGAAAAACTGCCCGACGTCGCCATGTTCATGCATGCGCACCGCTGGACCTGGCACAACAACGAGCTCCTCGACTTTGACGCAGTGGAGATTATCAAACGGCTGAATCCCAACAGGGTGTTGCGGGAAGGCTACGTAAATCTGCGCTGCCACTGGGACCCTGGCTGTCCCGATTGGATGCACCCGGGAGAGGTAGAGGACGACAAGGCAAAGCACGAGCAGAAACTGCTTGCCAAAGCGTGGAGCGAGCTGTTCCCGATGGATCCGATCCCAAACGTGCTCGCCCAGCCGTGTTGTTCGCAATTCGCCGTCAGTAGCGAGCGGATCCGCGCCATTCCGCTGCAACGCTTCGTATCGTACCGCGATTGGCTTCTGCGAACACCCCTTCCCGACTCTTTATCCGGGCGCATCTGGGAGTATATCTGGCAGTACGTTTTTACCGGCGAAAACGTCGTCTGCCCAAACGAGCACGTCTGCTACTGCGACGGCTACGGCGTTTGCTTTGAGACGCACGGCGATTTCAGCAAGTGGAAAGAGGATAAGTACAACATGCAAGGCTACGAGTATGAGCTATGGGATTGGCACGAAAAGGAGGAGCTTGCCCACAAGGCCATGGTCAACGGAGAGTATGAGCAATTGGCACAAGAGGATCTTCCAGCACCCGGCCGGGACAAGTGGCTGGAGCAGGAGATCTACACCTACAAGCAAGACCTGATAAGAAGGCGAGACGAAGCGATCGCGAGAGGGAACGATCCCAGGAAGCGGGCAGAGGTTGCGGGCAGAGAGTGGCGAGAAGGCGATTGGTTTTGAGTTGCATGATCTCCGGCAGGGTGTCAGGAATGGATTGGGAACATTTGGGGAGGAATATTTATGATTTTAATTCGTTAATAGACGGAGACAGGATTCTGGGGCGTTGGAAAGGCGCTCTGCTGGCAGCATTTTCTAAGCAAACGTTGCGCCAAAACCTTGAGCAAACCATGGCACATTTCCTTTTGCATATTTTGTCGTGGGTGGTTGGCCAGGTTCGGCAGCGGGGCAGAAAGCCAAAGCATGCCAGGGATGGGGCTCGGCGCTTGCCGGGAGGGAGGTGCAAAATATACAAACACGACACAACCTGACCGTATCATGATCCCAAATACCGCGGCCGGCTTGCGCAGCACACGACGGTAGCAAGCAGCTGTCCATGTAGCGCGCGCTGTAATGCCAATCCGACTACGTCTTTGCTCCGCTTTGCTGCTAATGCCTCCCTCAGTCTCGTTGCAGCAGCTCCACTTGCCCTTTCGGCCACCCTGACGCGCTCAACATCTGAGGTGGCCAGAATCCCAGCGCGCATCTTCACCTACGGTAGCTGGCATACATGAATTCCGCCCCGCTCACCTCCTCCTCCTCCTCCACTGCTGCTGCGCCCAGCGCCCCCGACAGCCTGCCCGATGGAGACGCTTCCGACACGTACTCCAAACTGCTGGAGGAGAGGATGAGGGACGTCGCACAAGAAGCCACTGCCCACGCCATGGCCCATGGCTCTTCGGACGCGTTGAAGAATGGCGTGGCCCCATCTGTGCCAGCGCAATCAGACCAGGGAAATATGGCCGAACTGCTCGAGGCCGCGGCCAAGGCGACGTCCGAGTCGCAGCGCTGGAACAATACCGCCGGCCACGGTCTGCGCAAGGTTGCAGGACACGCGAACCTGAGAGGCTCGGCCTTTGAAGAGGATGGTCACGATGCCGCGGGACTCAAGCGCAAGCGCACGCCAGAAGACGCAACGAGAGATGGCCATGAAGATGCAGGCGGCGACGACTACAGCACTGGAGCGCCTTCTCCAAGCAAGCGCACCAAGGTCGCGCCCTCTGCTCGAGCCCAACCGCACGCCAACACGCCAGCAGCTCAGTCGACCATGGACATCGATACTCCTTCGCCGCAGCACAATGTCGCGCAGTCAGCCCATATGCAAAGTCTTGGGATGACAGATGTGCGCGCCGCAGTCGGCGTCCACTCTGCTGCTGCTCTTTTTCGCCAGACGCCAACAGATTCGAGAAAGAAATATACACGACCGCCCATGCACAAGCTGTTTTCGGATCTCCAGCTCACGCCGGAGAACTTTGTGCGCCTACAGGCTTGCGCAAAGGCCTACATGTTGGACGACACTCACCCGGAACGCCAGGAGTGCGTGGGCAATCGCGGCAAAGGCGACGCGGACATGGTCAAGCTGCGCCTGTTCAACTGCGCGCGCGACTTTTTGAACGGGGCCGTCGGCGAGCGCTTCTTTGGACCATATGTCCCTGCGCCCACAGAATACGACACCATCGATGGGAAGCCTGTTGCGCCGGACAGGAAGTGGATTTGGCCGCGGGATGCCAACAAAATTGTCAGCCTTGTGACGCCGTTGCTGCGACGTATGGTCACGAACGAGAGGCAGAGGCAGTATGCGCAGGAGACGAGAAAGGGCGGCAGCAAGAAGCAGGATACGACCATGCGCGACTGGTCGCAAGAGGCTTCACCAGAGAAGTTGGGGGCAGCCATGGACGCGGCGGATCAGAGGCCGCCATCACAACCACCGCTGGACCCTTCTCTGCATTCTCACCATCAATCAAGCCTTCTAGCGCACTCTTCGCCGTACCAGTCGCCTCAAAGGCCGCACCAACCGCACCCACAGGAAAACTATCCGCAATTCTTCCAGATACCGCGGACAAATTCTCAGGCATTCATCGTTCCGACCTCGTCCGAATCTTCATCTACCAGGCCAACATCGCCCTCGATGGCGCGCCAGACCCTTTCACCTCGAGGCCACTCCTCGCCTCAAGCATCGCCACGCATGTCCAACACCCCATTAACCCAACAACAGCAGCAACACCACCCCTCAACAACATACGCTGCTACCCCCACCCCAACCGCCGCAGCAGCCCCCCTACCAGTTCCCCCAGTACCAACAACAACGGCAACGACAACGGCAACGACAACGTCATACCCGCCGCCACGGCCGTCTGAAAACGTCATCCAAATCCTCATCACCCGAAACAACATAAAACTTGCGCCGCGCATCGACCTGCCTAGCTTTCCGAGCACCCCGCACCACACGATGCCCCTGGCCCAGCTGCGCGGCATCGTCGGCGAGGAGGTGCGAGCACTCGTCCGCAGCGGCGTCGTACAGGGACAGGTGCAAGACGTCGGCAACGATGCGCCGACAGCGCGAGTTGGGGATGCAGATACGGCGAGAATGGGCGAGGGCGAGGCACCAGGAGGTGGTGCTGCCATTGATGGCGCGATCGACCACAACACCAACGGCGGCGATGCCACAGCACCACAAACGCAGCAGCATGAGCACGCCGAAACGGGCCCTACCTCGCCTCTCAAAACATCCGCACAACACGCACCCGTCGTCCTCCCTCCGCGCTACGAACTGCGCGCCCTGACTGGCCGCGGCCTGCTGCTCGTCGAGACGGAGCGCGACTGGCAGGGCGTCCTTGCCGAGGTGGCAAACGCCGTGTGGATGGAAGGCGCGGTGAGGGTTGTCGCCGAGGTGTTGGCTGCGTAGGGTAGACTCAGACGGGAAAGCAGACTTGTACTCTCGATCTTGATATTGGCGTGGCGTTCTGTGCGTTTTTTTGGGACTTGGGATTGGAGTTGGAGTTTAGATGGATGAGCGGCTGGTATGGTACGGTACGGATGGATTAGACGGATTGGAGTTTGGGTGCGGCATTGCTCGCGACGGCGATGGATGGATGGACGGACGAGATACCTCTTTTGTTGTAGACTTGGAGTATGGCACCACCACCGTATGGCGTACGTACTGATCTTTTGTTTGAACTGAGATGCATATGAAGCCTTTCGGGATATCAGTACAGGTAGCCACGCGGGGCGCAAGCACTGGCGGTGCCTCGCTTCCTCTTGTGCTTTTGGTTCTCCTTGCTCGATGAGAGTGATCTTGGTGCCTCCGTCTGTGTGTGCAGGCCAAGCATTTTGTCGGTCGGTATCTACACTCAGCATCCCGTGTCGCAATTGAATTTCTCTGGGAGGGTCTTTGCTTGTAAGAGGCACAAGTTGAGGGAGTGGACGCGGTAGGCACGAGGTCGTCGGTCAAGGAAGCGTGAGCAGACTTGACGCTGCTCCATACACAACCAAGACGACCCCAACCGTAACCCCCTCGGCACACACTAAAAGCAAGCAAGCAAGCAAGCCCTCGCCCTCCCACCCTCCTCAGGTACCCCTTAAACATTCACACAGCCTAATCATCGTAACACCCCTCCCCCACCATCCCGCTTCATACGCACCCCTTCTCGCCTCTATAGCTCAGTGGTAGAGCGCGACACTAGTATACAACAGCTCCCCCCCCCTTTTCCACCCTTGGAAAAAGGACGAGCTGCTGTAGGCTAGCAATGTCGAGGCCGTCGGTTCGACTCCGACTGGAGGCACATGATGCACTGCTTTGGTCGACTCACCAGACGCGGCTGGTCAGTGAATTCTTTTTTTTTTTTTTTTTTTGGCGGTTTGTGGTTTGGGAGGGGGGCTGCGGCTGCCGGTGGTGCGTGTGTGAGGGAAGAGGGAAGAGGGAAAAGGGAAAAAACCAGGGGGGCAGTGGGCACGGATCGGCATCGGCATCGGCATGGCCCCCTGATCTTGGTGATGGCCCCCGTCGCCGTCGGTCGGTCGGTGCCTGGCACTGGCTCCTGGAATGAATGGTGCAGGGATTCGTCGGTCAGGCGAGTGGGCTGTGTGGTTCATGCGGTGGGGCTGGAGGTTGCCGCGCAGAGAGACATGGATGGTGTCTTTTTGATTGTCTTGAAGAAGTTGGGTCAGGTTGGTTGGTGGTGTTTTGGTTGCGTTGCGGTCTGGTGGGGTGATGTGGGCTGGGTGATCGGTCCTTCAGTCCTTTTGCGGGGGAGGTACTGTACATACTCTGTACAGTGCAGCCAGGCGATTCTTTGTCGTTCTGCACGGCGCCAACGACTGGACCTTCTCCACATGCTGCGCCATTCTGGTCATCCAGCGCGTGCCAACCCCTCGGTTGCCGGTGAGCAGGGCGCCTTTCTGTCTTTCGGGCACGACTTCATTTCAAGAACAACCAAAGGAATCAGCAGATGGGTCGAGACTGACTGCTGAAAAAGCAACGCAGCAGCGAAAGAAGCGAGACGCGCATCAAGACAGCCACAGCACAGCAGGCTGGACTGGACCCGGGAGCAATCAATCAGATGAGGCCAACTTTTTGTGATTATCCAACAGGCAGCGCGAGCGAGATTCGCCAGGAACGAAGCGTGAAACACATGGCTTGCGACACATGAGTAGCGAGGCACTGCGGTGCGACTCGACAGAGCGACGTGTGGTTGTTGGTTGGGACGTGGTACAGTACGGCGGTGATATGGGCTTGCGGGTTGGTGCGCCGGGACAAAGCAGCGCGCGTGTTTGAAGTGAATGAAGAGATGGTACATGCACTAAGTACAAGTGCCTCTCAAGCTTCTTGCGGCGGCGTGGGTGGATCATATTGGCGGCGGAAGAGGCTGAAGAGGGCGCCGTTGGCAGTGAGGATAGGTTTGACGTCAAAAGTCAAACGGCAAAGTATCGAGCCCCTTGTCGCATCCACGTGAGGGCTAGACCGCTGCAGAACCCAAGCAGATGTTGCATGGCCGGAAAAAGAAAAGGGAAAAAAGGGAAGAGGGCTTCGTCATGGGGGATGTCGGCTTCCTTGGCCGTGGGATGTGATTGACTGAGGGAGAGACCGACTTGCCGTGGTGAAGAATGAAAGAAGAAAGAAAAAAGAAAAAAGAAAAAAGAAGGAGAGAAAGAAAGAGAGCGATTGGTGGTGCAGCCAAAAATATCCACGGCATGGCATTGTGCCTAGCTCTGGCTCGTCCCGCCAAAGCTTCCCTCCTGGACTTGGACAACCGCAGGCAGCCCCAAACTAGGACGGACGTCTGGCCGGAGCCACTGATTCTACTATCGACGCCGCCATCCAATCCACCCACGGCCCTGGCAATTGAATGAATGACTTTGGTCTGCTTCCGCCTCGCCTCGCTCCCCCTCGAAGCTTTCCATGTCCAACTTTTTTTGCCGCTTCATTTCCATTTCCCCCAAAGTCCAAGACTCGTCGCCCGGGTTTCCCACCTCGATATTAAGCATGCTGGTCTGACTGCACGCATGGACATGAAAGCCACTCTGTCGTTCTCGTCGTGCAGCCCATGTGCCCGCCTTGCAAGATGCCCATGCCAACCACCCTCCGTCATGTCGCACCATCCAACTCGCCGCCTGAGACATGATCAAATTATATCCCGCTCGCCCGCCGCTCCACCACGCCTGTCGCTGGCCACTTTTGCCCTGCTGCTGCTGTTCCTGTCCGACTGCGCCCAAGCTGCAGCCTCGCACGAGAGACGAAGCCTGCGCTCGTGGATGAGAAGAGGAGAAATCGTCTACAATCAAAGGCATCCTCCATCGCCCGCCGCCAAGCGGATGCCACTGTTGCATCCTCGGGACGTCCAAGATGGCGACGACTCGGCTGCGTCGTCGACCACGCCGCCCTCGACATTCCTTGCGTCGTCGGCCACTTACACGGGAGCCGTGTCGACGGCAACCCCCACGGCTCCGACGCTACCCCAGCCCTTTGACACGAGCATCGGTTCCAACTTCACCGCCGCCTCGTGCCCGGCCTTTATCAATTCCTTTCTCGACAACTCGACCTTTGGCGGCTGCGTGCCGCTGTCCCTGCTCCTCCAGGTATGTATGCATGCACGCATACAGTCTTGCCATTCTCGCGCCGCTCCCCGCTGACCCGTCTCGCAGACCTCGAGCTCTTTCTTTGACGAAACTCGTTCCCTCGTTCGGACGACCCAAGTGCTGGACGTGGCCTGCAATGTCGATTATCAGCAATGCAACTCGCTCATGGACCACTTTGCCTCGGAACTCACCAGGGACAGCAACTGCGGTGCCGACTTCAAGGCCGAGAATCCGACGGTACGACAAGCGTACAACGGACTCGTAGCCTACGCACCGCTCTACCAGGCCGGATGTTTAAAGGATTCGGCGGGAAGCTATTGTACGTCGCCCGCCCGGTTTAAGCAGGCGGGAGCAGTCCCGTGTGCTAACCAATCTGAAACTAGGTTTCGCCAATGCCATCACCAACTCGACCAACCCGACTGATTCGTACCCCTACTACCTGCCCATTGCCATTACCATGCCGGGCGGCTCGCGGCTCACGTGCAACTCGTGTCTCCGAGACACGATGCACACCTTTTGGACCTACACGGGCAACAAGACGCAGCCACTCAGCGACACGTACGCGGCGGCGGCCAGCCAGGTCAACATCCAGTGTGGACCGCATTTTGTCAACGAGTCGGTGTCTACGTCGAGCTTGGCGATGCCAGCGGCGCCGGCCACGTCAAAAGCGCTACCTTTCTTTGTGTTTGTCGTCGTCACTCTTCTAACCATATTTTTGTAAACACTTGCAACGCAGCGGCGTAGCGGGCGCCACGGTTGGCCGGCCGAGACACGAGCCGGACAGGGTGTGGAGGGTGGCCGGCCTGGGATGGCCCTCACTCGCCAATATCCGGCGGCGACATTGTTCCCGCCTTGGTGCCTGCCTAGGCTCGGACGGTCGTCTGAACGCATGCGACTCTTCATTTCGACTCGGATCTCTTGTTCGCACTCGTACAGTACTACAGGTTGACTGCTCACCTTTTGGGGAGAAATCTTTTCTTGGGTTACATGGTGTTTATTTGGCTGTAGGATTGCTTTCGTCATACCCCGTTTTAGCGTCAAAGGGGCGTTTCCAGTCGGTATCAAGATGTTTTATTTCCCCCGGTTTTGTTTGGAGAAGTCTGATTGGCGTGGTGTTTCTTGGGCTGCGGGTTAATTTGGCTGCAGACGAATGGGGCAAATGCGACGAGCCGCAGCGGCGAGCGGGTCGGAGATTTCTGCCAAGAGGTAAAAGATGTATCGGAGGATTGCAATAGAAGCAAGTGGTTGACGATGAAGCGAACCGGAAGCAAAGGGACGTGGTGCATGACGTAGGAGCAGAGCGGTGGCGTTGGGCGTGAGAGTGAGACGTCGAACCAGTGATGTGATGGGCAAGATGACGATGTCAGGCACCGTCAAGGCACAGACTTGAATTGACGGCTTAGCGTGCATGTCCAGTGGGTGCACCCGTTTGATCGCCCGGCAGTGGCTTGGCAACGGGCTAATGCTCCTGTCCCTTGCGGCTTGCGGGCCGTCGAGAACCAAAGGTGAGATGATGGACGCGGTGGCGATGCTTGGTCGTGGTTGACCGGGCGAGGCGACTTGTGGTCAAGAGGGCCGGCCGGTTGCGGGGTTCGGTTTCTGGCAAAGTGTTGTTGGCCTGAGGCCGGACGACACCGACTCAAAGTATTGATTCCATCGGCATGCAGGTCATTCATTCGCAAAAAGAAAAAACAAAACACGGCATGGGCGGGTTTCATCGCAATCCCTGTACAACATCAGCCTTAAACCTACCAGTCCGACCCAATATGAGGCCGGCCGGCTGCTCGTGCTGCGTTCTCGAGCCTCTCCGCCATCGCCATTGATTCGTCTTGTCCTGTCCTGTCCAGGCCATGGCCCTCGTCCTCGAAGCGAAGCCCACTGCTCGCCGCGACATCATCAGCGCCATCCTGAGCCACTACGGCGACGAGCGCGACCTCGACCTCGACGACCACGACGATGTGCTGGCCGCCTACTGTCAAGCGTCACCGACGCCCGGTCCGCTGGATCGCTCCAGCAAACCATTGCCCTCGGTCCCCTTGACGCAGCTGCGAGATAGAGGTAGGGGCATGCACCGCATGGGTACGTACAACTTTTTGTGATTTCACTTTCACTCCTTGCTGAGAGAGATCGCCGCCCCCGGCACGCTGGCTGGCATGCCACAACAATCTCTTCCCTTTCTCTCGCCCCCTCACTCGACCTCTCCTCCGCTCCGCTCCACACCATGCAAATGAGGATGCCCCCTCTTATATCACGGCACGGCACGCCAAGCGCCAGCACCGTCGAACGCCTGGGTTGCAAGCTGACCATGTGTCTGAGCATGAAAGCATCAGACGACTCGACGCAGGAACCACGGGCGCGCATCATGGCTCCGCGCTCGCTGTCGCGCAGCAAGCGCCCGCCCGAGCTACGCCTCGTCAAGTCCAACGGGTCCACCGCAACTTCCGCCAAGACCCCAAGCCAGTCGTCTTCTCCCCCGGCCGACTCTCCCTCTCGACAACATCCAGAACGTGGCAGACGTCACGCTCGTGGCCGCCTCGACGACGAGCTGCCGCTGCCACCTCCTCCTCCCGAGCTGCCCGACAAGTCCGACAACGACACCATGGGCTCCTCCAAATCAAAGCTGCCGCAGGACGAACGCTCTTCGCCGCGACGCCTTCACTTCTCCCTTAGACGCAAGCCCGTCAAGAAGCCCTCGCCCGCTGTTGCC